AAAAAAAAAAAAAAAAAACAAAGAGGAACTGTACCTTGTATGTTATCACAATGTTCATGCATCTTTGTATTCTGAGAAAGGATTCGCGTTGTTTCCCGTATTCACGCGCACACTGTCGTCTTCCATTAACTGCTTCCCTCGGTACAAAACTGAATGTTTGACGAAGAACACCGACGTGTACCTTCGACGTGTCGTATATCTTTCACACTTCTTCGCGATAATGTGATCTACTTGTTAACTGTTGTACGCACAACGTGTTCAATATCGTCATCGTTTTTGGTTTCTGTTCATTCGCCAAAAGTTGTGATACGATAGCATTCTGATTATCTAGGAAACGATCAATTTTCGATGTGTATATGTATTTTTGATGCTGTTGTTGTATCCGTACCAAAGATTCGTACGTCTAATCGTTAAGTATACTATGCTGAGAATACAATCAAAATGTTGTCTGACGCACCGTTTATACTGTCGTTAATCGAATACTGATGTGCCCCTATCAAATTGTATATCTTGCGGAGACTATGTGTCAATCTTTCTAGTTGTTAAGGTGGAGCATCAGCGAATGTTTTATCTGCACACGTTGCGAAGACTATGTGTTGTTTCTCTAAATTTTTACATCCGTGAGTTACGAGTGATGAGAAATGTTTGAAGGTATATATTTGTTCAACACCTACAGGGTGGATGATAACTTTCTGGTTATGTGATATTATATAGACCGTTGTAAAAGGAATGGCGGGAGATTGCAGTATTATAGGAGTGAATCTTGACACGTCTTGAAACGTCGAAAAGACGTTTTCACAATATTTCTCTTAGCGTGAAAATTTTGCCGGGAATGTTCGAAACGATAGAGACATTCCGAGTTATTGCCCTATCCTATGTGTATCGTGTCATACGTCGACATAATAAAAGGAGATCGCACGAGTTGTGCACTTCTCCGACCGAAATTCCACCGCTCATTTTCAGTTTGCTATGATCTCGAGAGCAAAACGGAAAATAAGAATGCACATGGATGATCGACGCAATGTCGGAATTAGATAAGTGGATTTTTTGATCTAACTTTTCCTCGCGTACGAATCACGAAATTTGTAAATTACGAGCGAATTTTCGAACTTGTTCGATGTCACGTGTGGGTCTCGATGTGTTCAATTCTGACTGGATCGTAGCAAACCACGATTGCTATTATATATTCGTATGGTGAACTTTGCGTGTCGATGTGTGACTGTGACTTTTCATTGTAAAACTATTCAAAGTACCGCTCTCGTCTAATAGAACAATTTGAGTCTACCAAGCGCGAGAGAGACGCGAAAAGCGTGCTCTACTAAGTATACGTACTTAACCAACTGTACTTTATGAAAATTCTGTCTGAAAGAAACGCGTTCGCACAGAAATTTCCATAAAGAATATCTCGCCGAGCAAATAAACGCTCTGTAGTTCCGCTTAAACGAGCTTTTAT